GATTGAGAAAACATTTCTCTTTTATTATAAATTATTTAAAATTTGTCTATCTGCTTGTTAAGAATATGAATATAAATTCCTCAAAATGTTCTCTGATTAATTTATTGCACGCCTTTGGATTCAAACCAACTGAAGTCTATTCAATCCCACAATGGCATAACTATTTATCCTGTGCTTGATAGAGAGAACAACTTTCTAGATTTGTTTAGATTTTTATCAGAGTGCCCAACTGTTTTCGAGAAACTTGGCAAAACATTCATTACAACAAATTACAATACCTAACAACTGGCCATAAAAATGAACGGCCAAAGGAAACCCAACCACAGGCAGCAGTTAAATGATGCTACTTAGGCGATAAGCACGACCTCCAGCAGCGGCGACTGAGAAAAAAAAATGAAAATAAAACAAAATAAAAGAAGACGAGCAGGGCAAAACTCTACACATTCATCCCCAGGCGCGTCCTTTGGTTTGTGTGTTTGTGTCCAAAACAATTTCCTTCCTTAATCACATGGTAACTGGGACTAACGAAAATTGCATTTATCTGACCAGAAGCAAAACAAATCGGCCCGAGCGAAAACAAGCCCATGAACAACGCTTCTAATTGTAAAAGATAAAAAAAAAAAGCAGCAACAACAATAAGGAGGGCAAAAAAATCCAAACTTGGACTGGTCGACAACTCTAGTTAATGAGTTTTTTATGTATACCCTTGCAAAGGGTACTATCATTTTGTTACCAAGTACATGACATGAAGGAACTCTATTGCAGCTCATCAAGTATATAAATGTCTGATCAGGATGACGCATTGCGTCGCAATAAAACAAATTTTGCTGTTTATGAATTAGGCGCAAAATATTTAATCAAGATGGTTATTTAAAAATATATGAAAACTCTATATAATTAAAAAACCTTTTTAGAATGATACTATAAAACAAGTTTTCGATTAAGAATTATACTATTATATCTCCAAATCAGGAACATGGCAAAGCGAAAAATTCTCCAGAAATGCTTTTACTTCTAGATATGATATCTTTATAAATAAGTATCATACTATCTTTATAAATTTATGTTAGACTTCACGCTTTCCCATTCACCAGCAATCAATAAAAATTAAACCAATTTTTTTTAAAGGAAATAAAAAGGCGATGAAAAAGCGATATTTTTAAATATATAGAATGGGTATTAAAAGAAAAAAATTTGTTGAAGAAACATAAGGTAAATGTTTGCAAGGGTATCTGCGCATCGGTAACCAGAAGAAATAAAATTTTTTTGGTCAAAAAACCGAAAAAAAGAAACTTGGCGAAGATAAATGACGGGCGAACAACTTTTATGGGGCCAGCGGGCTGCCGCTGAGGTTGTATATTGTGTGTGTGCGTGTGTGTGTGTATATAGAGAGAGGGAGAGGGAGAGCAGGACATTTGCCAGCAACTGTAGCATACTTTGAAGTGTCTTTCAGAACGTGGTATGTATGCCAACAGCTTGTCGAGTGGTTTCTCGTTTTTTTGAGCAAAGTATTTGGACTATCGATGTCGCCATAAGTTGTGCAGCTCTTCAGACCAACCCCACCCCCGACTCAGCTGGCCTCCTGTCCATGCCTGACCAAGTGCAAAATGTCAAGTTTTTGCGCGCACACACCCCCCCACACACGTCTTCCTCTATATTGTGTGTGCGTGTGTGTGTTTTTACTCTGGCCCGTTTGTGCAACAACTCTTTGATGTATGTAAATTTTGTAGCTTATCTGTATCAGTGCCATGTTCTGTGCCTTTAATCGAAAATGCAACCCTCACGCACGTTAAGCCGCCTGTAAATATGCTGCTAAATCCGCTTTGCCCACTGCCAGCCCAGTTGGAGAGCCGCACAGCCAGTCGGAGGAGCAGTTGTAAATCGTTAGATTTAAAGTTGATTATTTCTGTATTTTATGGGCAAGCTGCCTGCCTGCCTGACTGGCTGGCTGGATGGCTGGCTGGGCTGTTCATTTTATCTGCGATCTGGTAACAGGTTGCCCAACTGCTGTTGTTTTAAGCTTCAGTACAAACAACAATCATTTATAGAGCCGGCGTTTGGTCGGGGGCGTCTCCTTACGTACTTTCCGCATTGTACATAAGTGCGTTGGGTGGTGGATAAGGCTGAGACATTTCTTAATATAAATAGCTACAAATATTGTTGAATTCGAATTTTGAACAGGTTTCATATTATAAACCACTCGAACTTGAAGATCTTAGAATGATATTATATTTAATATAATTATAGCACTATGCAACTTTTATTATTTTTTTTAGTTTTTTATTTAGCCAAGAATAGGTCTGCAGTTTTAGCCAGAACATGACAGTTGGGGTATATAGAAGCTTGCTCAGATAAACATATTTTTAAAAACAGAATTTAAAGTTTAAAAAACACCTTTAACATTTGTGTTAGGGCTTGACGAAAAGCCGGAGATCGTCTGTTAACATTTTTGAGCGGGAATATTTTTGGTGTTTTATAAAAATATTCAGCTAAGATTAAGATATCTTCATTTTGTTTTGAATAGTTTCAGTTTATGTCTAAATTTCGAAATAATTTCAAGAAATATTTGAAGATCCATAAATAAAAAAACAAATAAACTACAATTTTCGAAAATTGCTGCATTTCTCGTCCTAAAAAGGAAACAATTTAAGAAAGTTGTAAACTTATAAGTTTTGGCAATCATTAATGCCATGTGCATAGGTATACTAGGCTAAAACTTTATCTTTAAATTTACCAATGATATAAAATGTGGACAACATTTTGAATTGCCAATTATGCACTCAGAGAGCTCGTTAACACCCCATTAAAAAAACGCACCACTCTCTTTGGCTGGAGTGTAAAAATTGGAATCATAAAACCGACTAATTGGGCATATGGATTTGTGGTTGCTTGGCTCATCAACAACAGGTTGCCAGGAACGACAACAACCTGGAGCGAGCTTCAGATTAACGCATCGCTGCACTGTCAAGTTCCGAATACAATCAATTTATGTGCAGAATATAATATATACATATATATATATATATATATATATATAGGGTATAGGTGAGCGCGATGGCAGCCTTGATTTGATGATTTGGCTTGGTGGTTGAAAAAAGTAAATAATAATAATAATTATATCATCCAGTAGGGTAAAGATTTCTATCGCAATATGCAAACTACATGCAAGTGGGTGGATTGGGCGGCGTCCAACCCCACCGCACCACTCCATAATAATGTGAAAAGCGAACCCTGGTGACATTTTTGTGGTTAAGCAATTTACCCTTCAGCCTGGCGGGCGCATAATTTATAATTGTCAAAGGAATTGCCCGGGAACACTGTGGACCACTGATTTATGGAATTTCATAAATTTTCACTGATTTTAATCGTTTGTAATTATGAGCGAGCGAGATAGCGATAGGGTAAGAGGGCTGCCATAAAAAATAATAATAATAATAATATTGCCTCTGCAATTTTAAGCGGATTTTCAATAAAATTTAAGACAAAACGCAGCACAGGTAATGTCCAGTCCGTGTTGGGTACCTTATTTGATTGGATTCTTTACACGCTTTTTCTACGTTTCGATCCCGTTGCAAACAGCATGAGTTTCTGCTTTATTTTATTTCATTATGCCTGTATATTTCAACATGCTCGATTCTTTGCCGTCCTGGGCACAATTTTTATTGAGCTCCTCTGTCCAGGGTATTTTTTTTTTTATAAGGCCACGATCTGGCCAGAAACAGAACAGAACAGGAAAAAAACAGCAGCAGCCGCAGATTGATTTTATTATTACGTTTTATTTCCTTGGAGACAAACTGCCCGCCCACAGGACGCAGTTTTTTTTTTTTTTTTTTTTTGTCTAACTTCAAAGAACTTTTGGCCGCTCAAGTGTCCTTGTGCTGTCTGTGTGTGTGTGTGTGTGTGTGTGTGAGCGTGTGTGTATTGGGTCCTTCATGCGGTCGTCAGCTTATGCGACAAATTTTTCAATTTATGTTGCGTTGCGTTTTATAGTAGGGCTTCAGCTTCCAATTTTTTTTTCTTTCTTGTCGGCCTCAATTTGATGGCCCAAAACTTGAGGTACGGAGTAGATGGCACTTTTGCGGCTGCCGCCGTCCGAGGTTGGAGGTTTAGCACTGTGCTAGATTGTGCGAAATTGTGTCGAGGGCTTTATGACCCACACATGCGGTTTATAAAAAACGAGCATTGCGAGCCTCTTTTTATCCTATTTAAATTCTCTTATATATTTTTAAATAATTGTCTCTGGATAATTGAAATAGTTTTGGCAACATCTAACTAACATAATAATTACCAATTTTTTAAATTATATTGAAATGTCAAATATATATTATAATAATCATAAATATAATAATCAAATATGTATGACTTATTTGGATAGGTCCATGTTTGAGGGTACCATTTTTACATGAATTTGGGCCAAGAATAATGTTGCCAGATTGATTACGAGGCCAAACCCTGAATAAACAGCTAAAATTTGTGCAAATCTGATAGGAATCGACCGAGTTATGGGGGTATATAGTATATTTGAGGGTTTCATATTTACATGAATTTTCACCAAAAATAATGTTGTCAGATTTAGATGCCAAATTGGTTAAGAGGCCAAAATATGAACAAATTCTCAAGCCTCGTGAAAATTGTATGAGATTTGATGTCTCAAATGATTTTTCATATAGATCCTTGGAAATGAATTTCAGCACGAAACGTCAACCACCAAATCTTTGATCCCCATTTCCACCAAGGAGAAATGCATTTTTCGAAAAGTGTGAAGCAACCGTTCAATCAATTTAAACAAAGATCTTTCACATTTAGTTTGAGAATGTTAAACAACAAAATTTCATGCGATCTTTTCACACACTTAACCTGCACTTTCATCACATAAGGTGACAAGATTTCAGTTTCCTAGCGCTTACGGTATGGACTGTACTTTGATCAGCAATAACTCAGTCAGGACAAACCATTTTATATATAGAGTTTGTTGAAGTCACTTTTTAATAGTTTAGCCTTGATTTGTTACTCAAAATAAAAAATTTAGAGATAAGTGCAAAAAATCGAATTTTATAAAGAAGCTTGCAATTCAAGCTGCAATTAAAGACAGAAAATAATATTAATATCCACTTGTTTAACATGTCTGACGACCGTTGTCTATTCTGCATTAGCGCGAGAAGCTTTGTGAAGATCACCCTGCATGTTGACTTATATTTAGTAATGTTTGCCATACCGCAATGGATGCTGTTGGCGATGTACGCGCCGAAAGATCATCTGCTCCATACGCTAATCTGCTTCATTGGATCGTTCATGTTGCTGAGTGCGATACAGAAGAGCAGTGCGCTCAAGTATAATTGGCCCTGGAACTGGCTGGCCATTGGCTGCTGCTATGAGCTGGTGACCCTCGGTCTGGGCACATTGCTGATGAACACAGACTTCCAGCAGACGATGATGTTAGTCGCCGTGGCCCTATTGATTTGCGGCTTTGTCTTGGTGCTATGCTTTTTCATCGTTAATGGTTACCATTTTCCCAATCCCTATGGGCTGGCTGGCCTGGCCATTCTGGGCTTCATTCAGGTGACGGTGATTATGACCGTGAGCACCGTATTTTATTGGCAGCACTGGACGGATCTGGCGATGTTGGTGTTGTTGATAAGCGTGCTGACCATGATGGTATCCCTGGTGCTGATCTCTTTTCATAACCACGAGGTACTAATTCGAGACGATGCCTTGCTTGTGGCATTTGTGCTCTATGTGAACTATGTGCTGGTATTGATGGCCTGCTTCATATGCTACCAACGCGTCGACAATAACTTTGCCAGCAGATCCAAATCCGGCCGAAAGGCCGCCGTCGCCTCACCTTCTGTCTGACGTGCTGGCATGCAAGGCTGTGGCTCAATAACGAATCGAAGGCGCCCACAGATTGCCTTTACATATATATTATTCATATACATATATATATATGTATAAATATATATTGATATATGTATGTGCTTGTATTCGCATATGACACAAATGATTCATCCGCCTGTTGTTGCGCTCATCGTACCGTTCGAGCTGCTGCTGCCGCCGCCTGCTCCCTTTCCAGGCCGCAGCCTCAATCACGTCGCATTCTCAGCGGGTTCTGCATCCGTTCGAGCTGAATCATTTGCGCTGCAGCTGGGCTTCGTACGTGACATTCGTTTTGATCTCAAAGCGAATTCTTTCAAATATTTTAGACTATTCGCATGCGTTGTACTCGAAGCACAAATTAAAGTTTTCTTATTTTTGTTAATATTTTTTCAATTTAACTACAGTCCATATTACATACAAATGTTTTATGTGATTTATTTGTAAGAATGTTTGTTGTGATTGACCGATTGACTGACTGACTGATTCATTGATCAATGTTCAGCGCACATCTCAATTTTTAAAATCTATGAGTCATTTGATTTTCGGTATTTTCCTTTTCTTTTAAAAGTAAAGTTTGTTTTTAATTAATTGCATATAAAAAACTGTTGCAATTTTTCAAAACTTTTGAAGTTAGAATCTCAAAACATTCGATATTTACTTGTGCACTTCCGCGCATTTTTATACCCTTGCAGAGGAAAACTTTTTGTTTTAATGCCAAGGATCTCAATATGTATTTTTTGGTTCCCTTTTAAACTTCAAATTTAAACTCTAGTAGTTCAAGCCTAGGCTAAAAGACTTGTTTAGAAAATTGATTTACTGCATTTACTGTTGCATCGTTTTAAAATTAATTTGAAACAGTTAAAAAAAAATGATTTTTTATGATCTTATTGAAAATGGAGTCTGTACCTTAACTACATTACATAAATTAAATAATGGTAACTAATGATAAATATTTGTATATATATGGGGCTTAAAAATTATATCTAAAATTTGTTATAGTTTTAAGAAAAAAAAGTTTTCCTCTTGCCTTAGAATTAATTCGAATTGAATTGGGTTGAGTAATAAATGTAAAGAAAAGGCACTTAAACATGGCCGTTGGTCACATTGGTCAGCCATAAATTAAACTAGAAAAATATTTGGGCGTTAAATAAATGTCAATGAGAGCGTGCAGGATATGAATGGGGCGGCGGCAAATGCAGAAATTTGTGGGAGTGAGTCGGCAATTGAAATTGTCAATGTTGTTGCTGCCGTTGATGTTGCTGCTGTTATTGTTGCTATTGTTGTTGTTGGGTCACAACGGATGCAATTCCTACAAAATGATAATTTATGATAATGATGCTTCCGGTTCATGCAGCACAGAACACAAAACTGGACGCCATGCAGCATAAAAATCAGGCGAGCACGAAAAATTTGCCAGTTGCGTACGAATTTTTGGCTCGCATTGGTTGGGGGTTGGGGGTTGGGGGTTGTGAGAGAGAGAGAGAGAGAGCGGGGGTTATTGTCGGGGGCCTGGTCTCGCATATTTATTGATAATTTCCGTAATTTCAGCGACAAAGCAAAAACGGAAGTTATGCCATTTGCTGCACGCCTGCGAAAAGGACAACAGACAACGCCACGGACACGGACAATAGTTGCCGAGCAGGCGAACGGGGCGGGGCATGGACCGGATCGGGGCGGCTGGTTAGAGGTTTTTCGTAGGCCATACTGAATGGCGGCCCATATCAAAGTGCCTATCGATTGCGTCGATTTGCCTTGTTATTGTCTATAAACGTCGCGTCGTCTGTGCAATTGTTTTGACTGCGTCTAGTATTTATGGGTTACGCTCGAGCAACAACAACAACAGCAACAACAATAACAATGGCAACAACAATAACAATGGAATCTGGCCTATTGTTGTGATTATCATAAACATTAACAACAAAAGGATGGCGCTGCCAGTGTCAGTTCAGACTCTCGAGCCTGAGAGTCTCTATTTGCGCATTCAAATGACCTTGAAAATTAGTTCCTGCTTTCTGGATGTACGTGTGTGTGTGTGTGTGTGTCGCACATAAATCTTTGGCACACGCCCACTCGCTAAAGCTGGACAAAAATAATTACGCATCATTATTATTGTTTATTTATCTTTTATTGCATATTAATTGCTTGGCTGCATTTCAAGGCGTGCCATTAAATAAATGCAATTTATTTAAATGTTTACCATATGGGCCGCACTCTGGGCATATGGCGCGGATCTCGTAGTGCTTCCGTTTTCGGTAATGCAGGAACCAACATTAAGGCCAAATAGTGCGGACCATAATCAGGCAGCATTTGTGGCCATTTATATTCGCATTAATTATAGAATATAGAATTTTGCGAAAATATTAAGGCACTATCATTTTTTTTTTATAGATTTCGAACCTTTTATAACGAAAAGGATTGTAAACAAATTTTAGAAATATGAAGCATATTTTTGCTGAACTTTTTTAAATTTCCATAATTTTTTTTTAATCGCAGCCGATTTGAATGCGCTTAGTTTGAAAGTGTTCAATTGATTTGTACAAAAAATAAGAAAACCTTGCACACCAAATATTTAGCTTAAGAATTCAGGAAAAGTAAGCTATGTTCAGTGGATAAAGTTATAGACTTTCTAGTTAATATGCCCAAAATCAATTTATGAAATTAAAGCATTTTTTTCTCAAAAATCTTTCAAAATTATTAACATGACTTTTCTGTGATTCTAGTATTTCTGTGCCTATAAATGTTAAACGTTAAACAAAATTTGTTTTAAAATAAATTTCTTAGTGTTAGGCTGTGCATTTTTGTGTTTGGGTACAGATCATCTCCAAAACACAGACATTGCCCCCAGTCTATGATAAATGTATTTGAACAGCTTCAAATTTTATTAAATAAATATATATTTTATTAAATAAATATCAGTATTTAACTGTATATTACGGTATTCTCTTCCTGTCGCACACATAATTACAAAAATATAAATATAAAGTTTACCAATTTTAGGTAGACATCGACTGCTACTTCGAATGCCGCTTAAAATCTAACTTTCGAAAAATTCTACCCAACTTGGGGCACATGTGGAGTTTTACAGGATAGTTCAGTTGCATTGAGGCTAAGCTACTCATTTGCAAGAATTTAAAGTGCACTTTGCGCAGTTGCATGTGATTCTGAAAATACTTTGGCTTATCTGCGAGCTGCCACAACTGCAGCAATCCGGCAGCCGGGTGTTGCAAGCAAAATGGCGCAGCAAATGGAGCCAAAGTTATGGTCGTGTGCGGCAAATGCACACTCACACACACACCCACCATACACACCCATACACACACATGCACACAGGAGTTCGACTTCCGCCGTGCTGCGGCAGGGCTTCAACTTATTTGCGCCGCGCGAAACTTCAGCTTGGATAATACGAGCCCAAAAAACGGGAGTGTTTGCCATAAAGTTATGCACCAGCCAAACAACAATAAAATAATATAATATTATCTACTTTTTTTTTTTTTGGCGAAGCCCCGAAATCGCAGAGCCCGTAAACTTTGAAGAAATATCGAAAGTTTTCAAAGCTGAGAACTGCGAGTTTCCTAGCCGAGAACTGCGAACTGCGAGATGAGCGCGCGCGAGAGACACACAAAGGCTACAAAACTTATAACGAGAAAACTTTGGCACTTGGTAAATGCGCGATAAAGAAACAAACAAAACAGAACAGAACAGAACAGAGCCAAACAGAACTGAGAAGAGCAGCGCAGCAAACTACAAGTTGAAGATGTGGGCACGTTGATAGAAGTTTGCGCAAAAAAAAAAGGGAAAAAAAGAAATGGGAGCCGAAATGGGGAAACAAAAAGAGAGTTAAACGCGCCAATGGAAAACAAGTACAGGTAATACTCAATATAACGAAATTGAAATGCCCTTTTTTTCAAATGAAAATGATAAAAAAAAAATAAAAACACAGTCTTCGACATTTTTCTTCATATTAAATTATAATCTGTAGCTGGAGTTTATAATAATCATGCTTAATCCAAATAATTTTATTTTGTTGAAGACTTCGCTGTAAGAATTAAAGTTTGCACCCATTAAATGTGTTGAATTTTAAAATTAATATTAAGAAATGTCAAATATTAAGAAAGTTGACACTTAAAAAGTACCGCACAAAATAAATGATTAATTGTTTGGAATATTTAATATTTCTTATGCACAATTTGAGTACATCAATTTTAATCAATTTTCCTCAAGGCGATATTAAAAAAAAATTTAAGAAATTTGTTAAATCGAGTTTTTGTAGTTACTTCAAAAATAGTATTCAATTATTAATTAATAATTCAAAGGTTGTTTAAATTTTTAATCGTTGTTATTTATGAAAAAATATTAATAAACATTAATTTTACCACTAAAATATAATAAAAGAAAAGGCTAATTTAAAAGATAAGGAACAGGAGACTTCTTTTCATTCTCGGCCACGATCTTGTGTAGGGTATACGAAAAGTAAGTGAAAAACATTGGATAAAAAGTTGCTCAACCTTACGCACAGAGCAGTCATTGGAACTGGAGAAATTGCCAGGCTGGCAAAAAACTTGAGCCGCCACAAAATTTTTCCTCACAATGCCCCAGCAGCAGCGGAGGGAGGGGGAGATGTGGGGTGTGGTTTGTTGCCAGCAACTCAAGAAAACTCATTCGCGCGTTTCAACTAACTAGAAGAACGGCTAAGAGAGAGAGAGAGAGAGGGAGGGAGAGAGAGTGAGGGTAAGAAAAAAAAACAGAAAAGAATATACGGCAAAAATTATTATTTACGCACGGATGGTGTCATCTAATTATGAATTCATTTTGCTTGGCACTGTGGCACAACAACAACAACAACGAAATGGCGCTGCTGCAAGTTGGCAGCAAAGGCAAAAGAAGAAGACGAAGACGACGATGATGAAAAAAATAGCAGAAGAAAAGGACACGGGCGCAATTTCTTGAAGGCGAAGTCAACTTTCTTTTGGCTTTTGGGCGCTGAAAATTAACAAAATGCGCGCTGGCCGAACAAAATGGCGCCAGCTCGGACAATACACCTGCAGGAGGCGGGCAGGTTAAAAAAAGGGGGTGTGGAAGGGGGGGGGGGGGGGGGGGGGGTGCCATAGCAGCGGCTGCTTTTAATGCAATATTTTCCAGAATTTTCGCTGAGCTAACGATAAAAAGTTTTATGCACGCATTTTCAGCATTTTGCATTTTAGCCAGGCCAAAGAAATTTCATGCTCTTTGAAAACTTGTTAAACTATGATAACCACAATGCTGGCCTCCTCGGCAAACCCCATCCGCCACAGCCACGCCCCCCCGAAGGGAAAATAGTGCGAACCAGCGTAAATAATAATAAGCAAACTGCATTTCTGCACAGCCT